TTCCCTTTACTCCTCTGTTTCATACCAAAAACGTTTCTTCCAAGTGGTTAAAAATATTTTTTCCTGGGCTCTGTGAATAACTTGCAAATAGAATTAGGAAACAGGAAGCCCGAGCTCCCCAGATCCGCTCGAGGACAAAGAAGCACTGCCTTGTTCTGAGTAGCTGACGTTAGAGGGAAAAGGCTTGTTTGTGCTCCTGATGTTTCCTTCCACGTGGAGGGAGCCCCAGGAGCAGAACACTCCTGCACCAGTCTGCAAGCCTCTCCTTGGTGGGATGTCCTGATAGGATTGGCGAGCTGGGACCAAGAAACTGGGCCCGCTAAAGCCAATCTGGCCCTCTCCCTCCGGCCTGCCTGTCAAGCGCAGACGTTTCCTCCGCTCCTCTGTACTGCAAATCTGTCACCAGTTTTGCCAGAATGTCTGCTTTGGGGGTTAGCATTAGGAACCCCACTTGCCTGCAGGTAAGTCGCAGTCTGCAAGCTTTGCCTCACTTTAACTGTGTGACCGGGGAATCTCTCAACCTCTTTGTGCCTCCATCGGTAATGAAGGTGCTATTCTGGCAGTTTCCCTGTGTCTCAAGGGTTGCAATATTCAGACAGAGAACCAGGGCTTGTGACAGGGCTACATCAAACCCCAGGAGGTGACAGATGACTCTGAGATGTCATAGGTGGTCCTCAGGGTATCTTCATCTTCCTCAGAGTCGGCCACAACCCACAAAACACAGGCTGGAAGACCTTATTTGTCACAAAGAAATCTCAGCAGTGGTTAAGGAAATTAAGGTGATTGCATTCTCTTTGGCAGTCAGCCTCAGTCTAGACTCTGCTTGAAATGCTTTTGAGAAATCTCACCTGATTTTTTAGTTAAATCGATCACTTCCCTCTTTTGACTTTAATACAGCTGTTTTACTCACCCGGGCACAAATTATGTGTGGAAACGGCATCTCTCCGTTAAGCAACCTGGGAGTGTGTGTGTGGCATGGTGTGGTGTGGTATATGTACGTGTTGGTTCTTAAACTTTCTCAAATTAATGGAGGCATTTGGCAGCAACTTCATTCCTATAAGCCAATGAAAATGGTGATGTATTAGCAATGCATTACTGCGTAACAAATGACTCCAAACTGCCTCAACGTGAACAGTAAACGCGTATTGTCTCGCATGGTTCCTGTGGATCGGGAGTCCAAGAGTAGCTTAATAGCAGCACAGGTTTCTCAGGAGGCTGTACTCACGATGTTGGCCAGATCTGGGATCACCTGAAGGCTTGACTGGGGTTGACAGAGCCACGGTGGACAGAGTGACGGTTCACTCTCGTGGTGCTGGTTGTTGGCAGGAGGCTCAGTTCCTCCCATGTGGCCTCTCAGGCTGCGTGAGTGTCTTTTTTTTTTTTTTTTTTTGAGACAGAGTCTCACTTTGTCGCCCAGGCTAGAGTGAGTGCCGTGGCGTCAGCCTAGCTCACAGCAACCTCAAACTCCTGGGCTCAGGCGATCCTCCTGTCTCAGCCTCCCGAGTAGCTGGGACTACAGGCATGCGCCACCATGCCTGGCTAATTTTTTGTATATATATTTTTAGTTGTCCAATTAATTTTTTTCTATTTTTAGTAGAGACGGGGTCTGCTCAGGCTGGTTTTGAACTCCTGACCTTGAGCAATCCGCCTGCCTCGGCCTCCCAGAGTGCTAGGATTACAGGCGTGAGCCACCGCGCCCGGCCTGCATGAGTGTCTTGAGTGTCTTCGCATCATGGCGGCCGGCCTTCGAGCAAGCAAGCCAAGACCTATTCTGGGAATCACACACCGACACTTTTGCCAGGTTCTACCCCTTGGAAGCAAGTCGCTAAGTACAGCTCACACTCCAGGGCAGGGAATCAGGCTCCGCTTCCTGAAGGCAGGAGCATCAAAGAATTTGCAAGCATATTTTAACACCACCACAGGTAACATGGTGCAGAAAGATAGGAGCGAGGCAGAAGAATGTTAACATCTACTGAATTTACAATAGAAAGAATAAAATATATTCATGTTTGAAAATCTGGAGCTTCTTCCCCTCTGCCCAGGAAACTGATGCAAAGAAATGGGGAAAGAGGGCTGGACAGTGGAGTGGTCACAGAAGGGGGAGTTTTATCAAAGAGTGTAGGGCGAGCACTGGGGGTGGCTGCTGGTTGTGGGTGGCAGGAAATCACGAGGCTTGGGGGGACCGGGTTTCAGAAGCAGCGCGTGGACAGCTGTGAACAGACTTTGCGCTTTTGCAGGGACACGGCACAGGCCAGAATCAGTTGTATGACTGCTTGGTTTGGGGGCCGTTTCAGTAAGTGCTGCACTGGGCTGAGACTGGATCACGTGGACCAGATTATTTATTCAGGTTACATTCACATTCTCTGAGAATTTCCACCCCATGTAAAATGGCAAGAAAGCACCATTTTTTGAAGCTTCTTAAATGCTTTTGTATCTTTCTTAAGACTTTTGTATCCTCAGTACCAGCACAGCATGTTCACATAGTGGCTCCTCAAGATTAGCAGAATAGACTCAAGTGAAAAAGATAGTTTGAATTTTCACGTGATTTGTGAGCCAAAATGCTGTGATCCAAAGGGACAGGAAAATGATGTGAACCTGAAATAAAAATATTTGGGGGTGACGATGTGTCTAGAACTCTTAGCTGGATTAAGAGAAACAAAGGCAAGAAACTAGGAGTAAATCATGGCAGGTGGAGCAGGGTCAAGCCTGGCCCAGCCTTAGCCTCAAGAGTGCTGCTTCCTCCTGAGGCCCCGCCCTCCTTTCCCACAGTCCGCAGCCCACACTCCCTTGAAAGCAAACAGGGAGATGGCAGAACTGCTGGGCTGGTGACACGACCTGGAATCTTTCAGGACTACAATCGGGGGTGCTGATCAGAGCTCTGCGTCACTTCTGGGGGTGATGGATGGTATGAGGTAGGGCACAGAGAACCGGACTTGTTTCTCTTTGCCCCTAAAAACTATTTTATGGACAATAAAGAGAACTTAGCTCTACTTTCTCTCTTGGTTTTTGCAGACTCGCTGGCGTAGACACTGGGAGATGTGTGCAGGAGCATGCGTTTTGGAACCTCCGCACAGATTTCAGCAAGTGCTAAGAATTTGGGGGTAGCATTTCCATGGCTGTCAGCCTGTCTCCCTGTGTTGCCTTGGTTTGCTGTCTGGCCGAAGGCAGGAGCAGGAAGAGCAAGTCACAGTCAGCAAGGCACTGTCTGGAGCACAGGCCAGGAAGCAGGGTTTGTCCAAGGCCTTCAGTCTCAGCTCTGCTACCAATTTGTTGGAAAAAATCATTTGTGCCAATTATACCCTGGTTAGTAAAGGGTTGTCCTGCCTAGGATGCAAGTACAGAAGCCAATTGTAAGGACAGGTGATCAATGAAGGTGACACATTACTTATGCCTCCAATTCTTCTCAGTCCTCAATTTGCTTTCTGAGAAACAGAGAAAATAAATGTACTTGCCTTGCTAATGGGTATGTGGTCAAGACTGGGCAATTTACACAGAGCATGTTAGTTCCAAGATGAAATGCACTGAGATATTAGGATTAGTCTCTGCTTTAATGAGTTTCTTTTGAGACAGAGTCTCGCTTTGTTGCCCAGGCTAGAGTGAGTGCCATGGCGTCAGCCTAGCTCACAGCAACCTCAAAATCCATGGGTTCCAGCGATCCTTTCTGCTTCGGCCTCCGGGGAACTGGACTACAGGCATGCGCACCATGCCCGGCTAATTTTTTATATATATATCAGTTGGCCAATTAATTTCTTTCTATTTATAGTAGAGACGGGGTCTCGCTCTTGCTCAGGCTGGTTTTGAACTCCTGACCTCGAGCAATCCGCCCGCCTCGGCCTCCCAAGAGCTAGGATTACAGGCGTGAGCCACAGCGCCCGGCCTTTAATGAGTTTCTGACTTGCAGGTTTGAAAAAAAACTTTGTTCTCTTCTGTACTTCTCCACAAACACATAACAGTGATTTAATGGTAAAATAACAATGAAAAGAAACAAAGTCCTTCTCCTCTCTATACTGGTCAAAAGGGAACTTCCCCTGGCCTGAAATAATCTCTTCTCCCATGAAGTTATTATCTGTATTCACAGCTCACATTCCACTGAAATGCACTGGGTCCAGGTAAATGGTTGCTTTTGGTCAGTGTCCACTCTGATGAGCTGGGCATCCATTCTGTTTGGTTGGTGCCTGCGATGGACACACCTTAAGGTGACTCCCCGAGCCTCCTGAATCCTATTCTCCTATAATCCCATCCCCTTGAGAGCAGAACATGTGACCTGCTGCAAACCAATAGGACAGGGCAAAGGTGATGGGACATCTGTTTATCACTGCTGTTTCATTCATTGCACAGTCACACATTATTTTGTAATGCAGAATTTTACCTAGACCTTGTATTGTTCACTATAGCTTCAGGCACCTATGGCTTTCCCTCTTAACTAGATTTTAAGTTTTACGAGAGCAAGAACTCTGTTCTTGAACATGTTTTAAAGACTCACAGCACATCAAAGTACTTGGTACACAGTAAGTATATGTAATTTGAGTTTTTGACCCTTCATTTGTCCAACTAAGCCAAATGAGTCTTAGACTAAGACTCACGCAGCAAACACTGCACACCTACTGTGAGCCAGGTTAGAGATGCAGAGAACAAGTCAAAAGTCCTGCCCTCCAGGAGTTCATGGTTCAACCAGCCAATGAAGTCTTACAATCTCACCTCCTTCTTACCAGGTAGACTCAGAAGACACCCAAAGATCCCTAGTTCTTTGTCAGTCTATCAGGATTATAATTCCCCAGATGAGGCAGAGTTGTAACTGTGAAGTTCTTCAGTGAGTTTTGAGTGACTTTTCAGTTTGCAAGTAGAAGCAGTAAAAGCCCCTGGTGGTGCCCATCTTCCATTCAAGCAGGAAGTGAGCCCCAAAATACCACTGCCCCTCAGTTGCCCATCATGGTGTCCCTTCCAATCTATGACTCAAGTGGGCATATCTACATCCAAGCAGACCAGAGATCAAAGCTACATGAGGCAAAAAGCACTTTTTATTCATAGGCTTACAGAATGTATCGAATTAAGAGGCATATCATTTGTTAACTCTATTTACCAAAAAGAGCTAAATATGCATACAGCCTAAAATGCATCCACTGAAGTCTGCATACGGCAAAACTTGTTTCCATATACATATAAACTATTCTTATTTTACCTAAGTTATGCATTTAAAATACATAAAAATGGTACCCAATGGCATACTGGCCTATTTTGTCACAATTCTTAACACATTCCTGATCATCAAAGGGATTGATAGAGAATGCATAGTTTCCTTACTAGAAAAAAAGTAGATTTTGATACAAACAATGGAATACAGTAAGGATCAGAGTGCCTTGGTTAGGTCTCAGTAGCTTTACAATGTAATTCTTATTCAACTAGCATTACATTTGGTTCTTTTCACTAATAATTGGGATGCTGTTCATTTGCCTGGTCATTCTACCTTCTGCTTGCCTGGTGGAAGCAAAGGAAATCAGTATCACTCTTTCTTTTCTTCTGGTTCATTTTCTACTTTCCCCAAAGAGTATCCTCCAGGTCCATTTGTCCTGCTTCTCTGCCCATTCTGTTTCCTTGCCCTCCCCCCCCCCCAAATCTGGACCATCTTTCTTGCTGCATCAGCAACTAGATTATGGTATTTCACTCCAGGAAGCTGTTGAACAGAATCTTTGGCCACTGCCTAATTAAAGAACTTTCTTTCTCAGCTGCAAATGAGGGGCTGATACCTCTGCAGAAGACTCGGGAAGCCGGTTAAAGAGATCTTTTCCTTCAGTGGCATGCAAAGAGACGCCCCTCCTGCGGATCCCCCATCCCTCTCTCATCATACCCCAGGCCAGAGAAATTTCCATCACGAGTGCTCCTGGCGGCCAAACCTCTGGCATCCCACACCGATTTCTTTCCTAAAAATACACAGCTTCTCACTCCACAGGGAAGAAAACTGCAACGCTGCCATTTCCAGCGTGCTCCCTAAAGGCTGACGACGGCCGGGAGCAATTCATCATCACTCGTGCATTTGGGTTTTTAATTTTTCCTTCACAGAAGTCTTCTTGTTTGTCTTCTAGACATTGTGACATGAACCAGATGCATCTCGACCTTAGCATCCCTCCCATACCTCTGTGGGGGCTGGGGAGGGAGAAAAACATTCATGCCACCTAGAAATCCTCTCTAGAATAGCAGAAAACTATCTGAAATTTCTGGAAGACTTTCCAAAGTGGGGCCTCATGTGTACTGGCAGTTCCATAATGTTTGTTGATTGTTAAATGGACCGGTTGATCGAATGGTGTCTATTCAGCATGATTTTCCTTCTGGCTGTGCGTGCTTTGTTGCACTTTTATTTTATTTCAAGGTGCTGCTATATTCAAAATCATGATAAAAATGAAAGTCTTTCTCTGGGAGGGTATAGCAGAGTGTCACATAAAGAAAATACAATGCCCGCTGATCAGAAGGAAAGTTCTAGAATGGCCACTCCCTACTGGATAACCATGGGCAGGCAATCCACTTAGATTTTGTGTCTATTTCCTTCTTCCTGAAATTAGAGTAATACCTGTCCTCCAATCAACTGTAAAACTATTTATGAACAAATGAGATGGACTCCAATGTTCACTGAAAAAATATAAAGCTCTGCTGAAATGCGAGGTGGGCTTATTAGCCAGTGCCCAAGAACACAGTGCTCTTCACATGTAAGGTTTGTTTTCTGAGTTTTGATAAGAGGCCTATTCCCAGCCCTATGGACAAGGGGACAAGTCCAGGGGACAAATCCTGGGGACATTTTCTCCCTTTAGGGGAGGGCTGTATGGAGGGGCGGGCCAGGAGCCTAGACAAAGAGACTATAAAGGAGAAACAAGGTGAGCAGGTGCTGCCCATGAGATGTGGGAGGGAGGAAGAAGCAAGAGCTGCCCCCTCAGGCTGATCTCCACAGGGGACGGTCCCCACGTTTCTCGGCCTTGGGCATTTGCTGTTGTTTAGTTGGTTTTGTGTGTTATGTTATTACTGGAAGAAAGCTTCTTGCAGAAATTGTTTAAAACTTCAGGGATTCTTGGGCTGAAGCAGTAAGATTAATGGAGCAAACTTCCACTACTTCGTGCCAAGAACATCTACGCTCCTTTAGCAAGTTGGCCAGAACAAATTTCTCCTCCCACAGCACAGGCACTCTGTAGATTGCAGGCTCTAGTCTTGTACAAAATCAAAGGAAGGGAGGAAAGAAGGAAGGGAGGGAGGGAAGGAGGGAGAGAGGCCTGACTGTAGTTGAGTGGATCACCCACCTCTCACCCCCACCCATCATCTGCTTAGATCTTTCTTTCACCCCCTAAAACCCCATCTGGACTCAACAGATCCACCCCTCCCAAGCCCAGCACCTGTGCTTCCTGGTTTTCCAGATTCCAGGCACCGGTGAGCAGAGTGGTAAGTGCGGGCGGTCAGTCCCTAACTCACCCTCAGAGGTACAGCTGGGACCGTGGTTCAGCTCTGCAGCGACAGCACTGTGAAAAGACGGCCCAGTTGCTTTCCCTGCAGGCAGCTGGAATCAGGAACATCTCTCTGACCTGGCAAAGTGCTGGGATTGTCTAAATGTCTCCTACACTATCTGCCAAGTATCCATTTTTCTGCCGGGGCTTGTCTGAGGGGTTCCACGCTAGTGAAAGGATAGCTTGCCCGTCTTTACAGCCAGAAGAACAGCAGAGTTTTGTCGTTTCCGCCTCCAATGTGGGGATCTGGGCATTTGTAGTCCATTCAAATACACCACGAAGGCGAAAGACTGCAGAAGAGTGATTTATGCTTTAAAAATGAAAACAAACCACTTTTCTCCTGTTTGCTCAGTATTTAGGAGAAGTTTCAAGCAACAACACAAGTATGTGTGGGTGAGTTAGTTCATTAAAATCCCTGGTTTCCTAGGCTGGAAGCCTCAGCCTGCACTCCCGGAATGTTCCCAAAACACCAGTGCATCCTTCTCTGAGTGCTATTTATTGCCTCAGTCTGCATTGCTTAAATCCGGAAACAACCAACACATTCATATTTGTGGCAAAACATCTACCTACTCATGACATGACAAATAATCATTGGAAAATAATAATACAGTACACAGTGTGATTGTGACACTTTCATGGCTAGAAGTGAAGTTGTAGGGTCAATCTTTCACGGCTGCCCCTAAAAGCATTCACTTCTTATGCTCTGACGAGAACCAGCCACCTGGGCGGAACATCCACTAGGAACCTTCCACTCAACTAGACTCCGTGAGCTCCCCTGTTGTCTGTGGGAAAGGCCCATTTTGAAATAGGCCACCTGGTCCCCACCTGGTTTGGGGGTTCAGCTTGTCTGGCCCCGTATCTGGTCCCTACTGATCAGCCCGAGGTCCCCAGCCTGTACAGGATGACCCCGCTGCCAACTTGTGGCCCCGTGTGGGTGTGGGGGCGCTGGGGGGAGGAGGGCTCCTTTGCTAAAGTGCAGGGAGGAGAAGGAGTGTTACTATCATGAGTATCCGGGTTGCGGTCTGGTGTCTGCAGCACCTGCAGTCGGCTACACTAGCAGCAGAAATAGCAGCAACTCAACAAAACACGACTGTTACGTGATTAGGGAGGTAGGCAGATGGGCAGGTAGGGAAGTTGGTATTCAATCACTTGAAATATTAAGTTGTCCAGAGGGCAAAGACATGCACACATCAAAGAGCCACCTACAGGTTTCAAAGCACATGGAGACCTACAGAAAGTCCCTTTGGCCCCCATACAATCTCACTTCAAAAATTGTACCGAATGCTCATCAGATGGAAATACCTGTTTCATCCCTCTACAGGATGGAACAGAAAGCACCATTCAGTCTTTGGCCTGTCTGCTGGTTACCCACAAACTCAAAGGACGGGCTCGGAGAAGCAGATGAGTCCTGAAGAGCATCAGACAAGCCTTATTGCCCCAGCCACCACGAGGGTCAGCTTTGAACCAGAAGAAAGAGGGAAAACTCCCTTTGTCTCACTGCTGAGCCCTCGCCCCATGCTGGGCCTAGACATGTGTCACCAGGGTGTTTTCTTTGTGGCAGAGGAAGCAATGTCAAAACATTAAATTGTTAGCATACCCATGACAAGCATCCATGCGGGCCAACAAAATAGCCAAGGTTCTGCTATTGAGGAGGATTTGCGGGGCTGGGCGTTACTTTCAGGAAACTAGGATGGCTCAAAATAGCACTGCTGAGTGGTATAAGATTTTTAAACTAATCATCAGCAAATCTTTTCAGCTGACTTTGGCTTTAAGCGTTCTTACCAAAAAGACTGCTAAAGTGGAATGAGAAGGGCCCATAGTTTGTTTGGTTGGGTTTTTTATTTCATTATAAGAGCCGTCCCATCTTATCCAATTTTCTCCTTCCTCATTAAAAAGAAAAAAAAAAAAGAGGAAAAGAAAAAGCACATTACTTTTCTAGATGGTAAGAGTAAATGCTATACTCTTTTCTCAGAAATTACAGGCTTTAGGATGTCTTTTTAAATGGTGGAAGGAGCATGTCATGCAGTTAGCCAATAAATGCAATCCCTGATTAAAATGTGAGCTCTAAAAGTTGGAAAACTTCTAACTATTTCCCCAGTGCATTTTTAACCTCAGAGCGCCGCGCCTGGCTTTTATTGATTCGTTTATTTTCCTTCTTGGTCCTCTCTTGTGAGGGCTGATGCTGCCTGCCTTTTAAACTCACCCGCCACACCTTCACAAACTTAGGTCAACGATGATATGTTCAAAAATCTTTGTCTTCCCTTTGAAACTGGACGCAAAAAAGAAATCTCTCCTGTCGGTGGAGACGGCTGTGAAGGAACGGGGCGCCTGCACGTAAATCTCCTTGAACTTTTTGAACAGCTGCTTCTCTTTATCCCACTGGTAAATCTGGGAGAACGTGTAGTCGCTCCCCAGGGCCAGGTAGTGATTATCTTTAAAAGAAAAGGGCTGCAGGGTCATGGCGCCCCGGGACGGAAGGGCCTGGATCTCCACGAACTGCTTACCGTTCCACTTCATGACCCTGGAGTCCCCGATGAAGCGGGTGAGGGAGAGGTAGAGGGCGTTCTGCATCCGGAAGCTCTTCACGGCCAGCACGTCCTCCATGTTGGGGATGTCGCCGTGGGGGACGAACTTCTTAGAGCTTTTGTTCCACTGGAGGATGATGGGCACCTGGGAGCGGCTGGACAGGATTAGATGCGATTTCCCGTCTATATCCACAAACTCTGCATCCGTGTCCCTGAACCACTCGTGCAGGGACTGGTAAGAGTAGAAGCCTTTGCTGTTCCACTTATAAACTGTGGACAGGCCTGCTTTAGAGCTGTCGGCGATGACGAAGAACGTCTCGTCGTCGATCTGGAACAGCTCGATGTCATTGGGCTTGGAAATGCGAGAGACTTCTATGTCCTGGAATTTGACGAACTTGGTCCAGTTCTCGTCGTATTTGTAAATGTGGGAGCCGCCGAAGAGCTGGGCCACCACCACAAAGACCTGGCTGTCGATGAGGATGGCCTTACAGCCCACGATGGACTGACCTGGGCTCCAAAACAAAAAAGAGCGATTAGCGCAGCTACAGTTAAAAACGCACCTTGAGAGTGGAGTCGGCTCCCTCGGGCACGGCTGGCCGGGAATGTGAAATGGTGCAGCCGCTGCGGGAAACAGTATGGTGGCTCCTTGGAAAATTAAGCGTGGAATTGCCATAGGAACCAGCAATTCCACCTCTTGGTATATACACAAAAGAACTGAAAACAGGGACTCGAAGAGGTATCCACGTACCCGATGCTATGGACTGAATGTCTGTAGCCCCCACATTAATACACTGAAACCTGATCTCGTGTGTGGCAGCGTTCGGAGGTGAGGCCCTTGGGAGGAGATTAGGTCACGGAGGCGGAACCCTCCGGAACAGGATGAGTGCCCTTATAAGGACACCCCAGAAAGCTCCCTCTGCCCTCCCACCACATGAGGACACAGCAAAAAGGTGGTTAGCTGCGAAGTGGGCCCTCACCACACAGCAGTCCTTCCCGGCCTCCAATCAAACCATGAGAAGTAGATTTCTGTCGTTTATAAGCCGCCTCGGCCGCAGCATTCATCTCAGCAGCCGGAACCGACTAAGACACCCACTCGCACGGCCTCGTTACCCACGACGGCCAAAAGGCGGAGCAGCCCAAGCTGCAACAGTGGATGAGTAGATAAACAGAAACGTGGCATACACATATATCGGAATACTATTCAGCTCTAGAAAGGAAGGAAACTCTGACATATGCTACAACATGGGTGGACCTTAAGGACACCATGCTAAGTGGAATGTGCCAGTCACAAAAAGACAAATACTATAGGACTCCACCTACATGAGGTACCTAGAGTAGTCAGAGACATAGAGGCAGAAAGTAAAAGGACGGTTGTCAGGGGCCGGGGGAGAGGGCAATGAAGAGCTGGTGTTTAATAAGTGCAGAGTTTCAGTTTTTCAAGATGCAAAGCGTTTTGGAGGTTGGTTGCTGTGTACAACAGTGCGAATGCCCCTAACACTACCAACCAGAACACTAAAAATGGATAAGATGGTACATTTTATGTTATGTATTATATTTCCACAATTAAAAAATTTTTTAAAATCTTTGTAAAATGTGCTTCCATAGAAATGAGTATGTGAGGTCATCAGGGCCTCTGGAGTCCTCCAAGGCGGGCACACGATTCAGGAAGTTCCCTCACACGCCAAATGAGCCAAATGAACTGTCTTCATGCTATTCAAAAAAAGTATGTTAATTAGCTCATTTCGATATTCCGCAATGTATACATATCTCAAAACAATGTTATATACGGTAAGTATATACAGTCTTTATCTGACAATTAAAAAATAGATTTAAAACAGTGTATATCCTTAAAAAAAAAAGGATTTCCTGACTCTAAATGTCAGAATGAGGCAATTAAATGGGCTTCTTCCCCTGAGGGGTAGGGAAAGCTTAAAAGGTAGGAGTCAGGTCTCACAGGCAAGAGAAAAAAATGTTGAGGACTCTCGAAGACCTTTGGACTCTTCTGATTCCAGAGCCAAAGGAAGCCAAGTGCAGGGAGAACAGAGTGGTGGTAAACCTATGACCTAGCCCAGGTGGCCTGGGGTTCAAACCCAACCCCCACCACGTGAGCTTTCTGACCCTGGGCCGGTTAACTCGGCTCTCTGTGCTCAAGCTCCTCACCCATAAAAGGAGACTGATGATGCTACCAGCACTGACCTTACAGGTGACCAGAAAGACTAAATGAGATCATTCATGGCAAGTGTTTTAAGCACAGAGCACCTGCGTGCAGATGGCTGATGATCAGTGGCTGCCATTACTGGACAATCAACTGTCTTGATAATCAAAAGACCTTGCCCCTTAGTACCTGTCCTTAGCAGACCCTGCAGAAATATCTAGAGAAAGAGCAACCGTCTGAATGATCTGGCTCAAGTGTCACAAAACCAGAACTTTGCAGGGACAGGGGACCATTTTACTCTGGCTCACTTCTCCCACCCTGCACCCAGGCCCCGCCCAACCTCCCAATTCCAGAAGACCAACCAGCAAGCAAGGGGCCACCTGCAAGACCACCGACCCTCAATCTAGAACATTCGATTACAAGTTCTTTCTTTCTTTTAATTTTCTAGATAATTTGGACCAAAGTGAATTTAGTTTGTAAATTATGAGGATAATTACCCAACTTCTGTCCTAATGTTTAACTTTGGGGCCACATAGTGGGTGGTTTCCAGAGTAGCATCTACTTTTCTCTTTACTGTTCTGGCCTTCTTGCAAGAACTTGATCCCTTTCCTTTATTTAAAACAAATTATTGCAGTTTTTTCCCCTGAGCATAAAAATGTTCACCAAATGTTAAATGTTCACCAAAGCAAATTTTGAAAATAATAGTAGGTAAAAGTTATAAAGTGTGCGTCATAACAAGGCACTATTCTAAGTACATGTATTTACACACTTAATCCTCATAACATCCATGTGAGGCAGGTACTATTCTTACCATCATCATTCCCATTTTACAAAGGGTGAAACTGAGGAACAGAGAAGTTAAGTAATTTATACAAAGTCACACAGCTAGTATGTGGTAGGGCCTGGGATTTAAATCCAGGCAGTCAGGCTCTAATCTATATTCCTCCTCCAAAGAAAATAAAAATCACTTATACTACAAATGTAAACTAACGCTTAATATCTTGACATATTTTTAAAGTATGTATTAGAAATACATACTATGTATTTTTATTAATACATACTCTATATATTAATACATATTCTAATGTGCTTTTTTTTAAAAAAATTGGGGCTTATCCTATACATATGCTTTTTCTAACCTACTTTTTTTTCACTTGACTCCTATGTATTAACATTTTCCCATGTTATTGAATCTTTAACCATTTGATTTTTTTATACTACACACTATTCCAAGCACGGATGTAATATTTTATTTAACTAGTCCCCTACTGTTGGACATTGCAGTTATTTCTTGTTTTTCCTTATTGCTAAATAACATAGCTTTCTTTAAAATGTTGTTAAATAACATGTTTTAATACCATCTGCCAGTGTTCTCCAATATAAGAATTGTTGGAGCAAATGTGCACAGTTTCAAGGCTTTTGGGTTTTACCTGCCAAAATACTCTTCAAAAGCTGCACGGATATCCACCCTGCCAGTACTGAGAGCACACACTCCTCATCCCCTTCCTGAGCCGCCTGGCTACAGAGGCCCGGGCCACCCAGAGGCTTCCTAGAGGTCTGCCCGCTGCAGCCAAAGGACAACATCAGACAGAAGGAATTCCTTTCTTGGGGATGCTCTGTAACACTCCTCTCTGGGTAAACACTGTTAGCCTATGGAGTTGTTGGTAGCAGAGAGATCACTCTGCGTGTGCGTGTGTGTGTGTGTGTGTGTGTGTGTGTGTGTGTGTGAATGTAGGAGGAGAGATTACAGACTGGAACATGCCTAGCATGCAGAAATCAAAATGCAAACAAAATAAACCAAACATAGGGAGCTGAGAAGAGATGGAGAGAGAACGGGGAGAAGGAGTGAACCTTAGGGCGAACGTGACCATGGGTTTCTCTCTCTCCCTTTTGGGGACAGCTGGAGCTGCCGCTTTTGCACCACGGTTACCAGGGCTGCAAAGGAGGGTGTATATGGATTGAGAAAATCCTGCCCCACTCTTGCCAACTCTGGGATCGCCCCGTGGCCAAACAAGATGACATATGAGGCAGGCATGGCCCCAGGAGAGGAGAACGGTCCATGTTTACCTGGTTCTTGTCCAGGGCAAGTGGTTCCAAGGGCTGTGCCCTTGCTTATCCACATGTGCTTTCCTTCATGCCGGGCTCAATGCCAGCTACAAGACACAGCCACGCTCCTCCTTCACCGGGCGGCCCACCTTCCTTCCGTAGCCACCCCTTCTCCTGCCTCCCCCAGGCCAGTCTGCTCCCTGTGTTCACTGTTATGCGGGTTATGGAGAGATTTTAATGGAAGTCAAAAAGTTAAGGTTGGTGGGGGAAGAAGGGGGGGCGCTCTGTTTCATCCCCAGGTGACAAAGCTAACAACTGGTGAGGCGGGACTGCCCGCCAGGCGCGGTGCTGTTACACACACGTTTTCCCCATTAAATCCTTACCATGTTCCCCTGAGTCCAATACCATGCTGATCCCATTTCACAGATGAAATGGACATTCCTAAAACCCCCATCTCATAGATGAAAGGGGCTCATGCAATGAAACAACTTGGCCAAGGTCACCAGCTAGTAAAAGCTGGAGCCAGGATGATCAAAACCCCGTGTGATGTCGGAGCTTGTAAGTTTAACTACCGCACTGCCGGAGCTCATTTCTTGGGCTTGGCTGCGAGAAGAGGAGCCAAGCGGGCTTCATGCCCAGACCTCAGAGGATTCAGACTTGGAGACTAACAAGGTCCAGCCGGCTCTGGCCCTGGCCACATGCAGTCTGATCTCACTGACCACTTCCTTCCCACCACCTCTGCAGCCCACACTGGGTCCAGGCCATGATCGCTTGCCTGGATTCTGCACTCTTGCAATAGTTTCTTTGCTGGCGGCTCTGTTCCCTCCTTTCTACTCACACCCACAACCACAAAGCCTACTCTCCACCCAGTAGCTGGACACAACCCAGCCCTCTGTGCCAGGCCCCTGCTGCCTCCTTGTAGCCCTATCGGCCTCTGCACAGGACCTTCCATGGCTTTGCAGAGCACTCGGAGTAAGAGCCCAAGTCCTTCCCAGGCCCTGCAAGGCCCCCACGATCAGCCCTCCTGACTTCTGACTCATCAACTGCAGCTGCCCTGGCTCATGTGGCTTGTGCCAAACTAGCCCCCAGATGTTCCTCAAACAGGGAAGACCCCTCCCGCCTCTCCACCTGCGCACCTGCTGCCTGGTGTGCCTCCCTCCAGCTCTCCACGGGGACCAGGCCCTCCTGCCCCGCGGGTCTTGTGCAAGTAGCACCTCCCTGATGAGGCCTTTCCTGGACAGTCTCCCCAGAATTTCAATCCTCTCATGCCAAGGGCTCCAAACCTTCCTTCCTCGAATCATTTCCCCTCCTTAACACGCTGTTGTCTCATGTGCTTTTATAGACTGTGATCACTTGTCTTTGTTATTCTCCCTTTCTCCCCCACCAGAATGTAAGCTCCGTGAGGACAGAGGTTTTTATTTGGTTTGCTTACTGTCACGTCCCCAGCACCTAGAATGTGCCCAGCTCAGAGCAAGTCCTCAAGAAATCTTTGTGAATGAATGAATGAGTGAATGAATGAATCTGGGGATGCCACTAGCTACAGTATGGCAGAGGGCAGGTGGAGGGCAGTGCTGTCCTACCAGGGCCAACCTGGGAGAGCCAAGGGTTGGCTGTGAGAGAGCCCAGGCTCTGCCCCCAGTAAACACGGGGTGAGGGGACACACCTGAGCCCTGACCTTGTTGCTTGCAAGGTTGTGAGAAGGACGCGGGCGTCAAGAAGGGCTTGCTCTGTTCCCGGCACTCTGCAACTCCTCACAGCATCTGCACGAGGCACATCTACTCCCATTTTACAGATGAGGAAACCCAGCCCCAGAGGGCCGGGGACTTCCTAGTCCACGGCAGGGTCAGCAGTACAATCCGTGCCCATCGATGTTCAGAACCTGAGCTCTCCACAGTACGTAAGTCACCTCTCGCACGAGGAGCACTTCTGCCCTCTGCCTACGGGCAGGCGACGCACAGGCAGTGCGCAAGGGGCTGCTGTGAGTTCCCAACGGGATAAACCAGGGCCTGGCACCTCGCAGGCCCACAGGACTCCTCACACAAGGGCGACTCGCCACTCTGCTCGCACCTCCTGGCCTGGGCAGGGAGGGAGGCAGGGCGGCCAGCTCGTCCGTCCCTCCCCTGCCTTCTAAGTCAGGAAAAAGAGAGAAGCAAAAAAAAAAAAAACCAAAAAGACACTTGCACGTGGAGACCCTCTCGCATCTCCCTTTTTCTCTGCTTCCCCGCAGGGTCCCCTGCTCTGCTCCGTGCTGAGGCTGCACTTCCGGGAGGGCTGCTCTCGGGCAGGTGAGCTCAGCACCGGGAGGCCAGATGGGCCGAGGGCAGCTGGCTCACCTGAAACGGCATCTTTGGAGCATCTGGACGCGCAGCTCGCACTGTGAGATTAGGCCCATTAGCAGCTCTTCCCCCCGAGGGGCGCGGTGACACTTGCCCTGCCTCCCTCTGCCCCTGCACCTGCCGCACGCCACTTTGTGCCTGGGACGCTCCTAGGAGATTCTGCCTGGATGTGCCTCTCGCTGCAACAGTAAAACGCTGCTCTGACGTCACATCAGGAAACTCTAAAGGAAACCCTCTTCCAGGGTGGTAATTAGACTTCTGTGGCAGTTTACAAAGCTAGTATCATTATCAGATTGCACTTTGATAAAGGAGACGTCTTTGAAAGATTATTTTGATTTTATCCACTTATCTAAGCAGCAAGTAGACAGTCCATTTTTAGTAGCACTCAGGCATCGAGATCCCACGATGCAGCGTTAACTAAATCCTACTCCAAATGCCTGAATTTAAGGGTCTATTTGTTCTTATTTTGTATGTACTTATTGAAAGAAAGCAGTGATCACTAGGACCTGGCAAGGGGGCACTAGGAACACGCTACAGTGTGTGTGTGTGTGTGTGTGTGTGTGTGTGTAACAATCAGCTTAACAAGAGCCAAAGCATCACTTAGCGGTTACAAATCTGGTGTGGTCTTAGGACAGGGCTGAGCAGCCCAGGAGGGTGACTTCTCACCGCTCCTAGAAAATGCTCCCACCGCATGACACCATCATCCTCTCCCTTTCCAAAAGGCTCACCAACAATAAACAGCAGGATCACCCGAGCTGTCGGCTCTCACTAATAAACGATCATTCCAAGAAAAACACAGGGGAGGCCATGAGGGTGGGCTAGGGCGCGTTTCCAGCCCTGATCAAGTTAGAGAACGCGGCCCTCCACCCGCGGCAGAGAGTGCTCCCCTCTCACAGGCACTCAGCAATGCTGAAGCGACGTCAGTACCTCTGGTCAAAGCCACAACACACCTGTGATGTTGTCGTAGCTCCGGAAGTTCATTTCGATGTGGTCCCACTCGAGCACCATGCAGTTCTCCATGCTGGGCTGGGCGATGGCCACGTACACGTCGTTCTTGGAGTTGAACGTGTCCACCGAAACCGACTGGTAGGGCAACGTCTGATGAACGACAAAATCTAGGAACGGGCGTTTAAAAAGAACCATGTTCATGAAATCTCTTGTGTGAATTATCAGCCGCCATCACCTTCCTATCCTTCCTAACATCCATCAGTTCTGAAAAGGGCGGGAGATGGGGAGGAGGACGGGAGAGAGGCGACACAAACATCGCAGCGTGTGGGTGGCTCTCGGAACAGCCCCCCGAGGAAAGAATCCTGGAGAGTTTCGTTTGGCGTGGTGCTTCACAGACTTCCCTGGCGCTTCTGCCCCGGCATTCTCAGCCCCAGCTCAGCACTACTCCTTTCCGGACACAACGCCGCTGCAGGTTCAAAACTAACATGACACTCCGAGAAGGGCACGCTGAACATTTGGAAACAAAGCCAAACCCTCTGCTATGGTCCAGAGGTTTATAAGCCCACAGCTGTGGGGAGGGGAGGGGGTAGTTAACCTGCGTCTGCTTCCCGGTTACTGGGCTTGGAGCAGTGGTTAAGTGACAGCTGTGCCTCGGGTCGGGGTGGCGTTCTCAGCTCCACAAGCAGTTACCGGAGGTCCACTGGGTTTTGAGCAGCATGGAGCCCCTCCTATCTGAGCACGCTGTCTACTCCTACATTTACTGGTAAGTCAACGCTTCTCATGCCTACCTACTGCTGCCCTGAACGACTCCTCACTCCCAGCACTAAGTCTTGGCAGGGAACAGACAATTACCGAGGAACAGAGTGAGCACGCCCTTGGAAACAAGGATAGATGGCATGTTGAGAAACTAGCGGGGAAAAGAGTCTCTAAAAACAGTGTATACCTGCTAATCAGGTTTAAGGAATACAGTTTAAGTTATTTCTTTGGCCAGAAATGCTTCGACGTGCACAGCTTCTTGGTAGGGTAAATGCACCCAGGGTAAAACGTGGGGTGGACGCCTGGCTAAGGAAGTCGTTCTTCTGAGGAAATCCTGGCTTTGCTCCACTCAATCCTTATCTGTCCCTACCCAGGTCTCCTCTGAAAGCCTTCCCTGACCAGCCTAATCCACAGGACTCTTCCCAATTCACTGGGCTTCTAACTAGGCATTGTTTAAACATTATTATTCATTATTATTCTGTGACTCCAAACAACAACATCAGGGTCTGATTTGGAGATGTGGGAGGGGATCTTAGAGACTTGGGCCATTTTACAGAGCCCAGAGAGGGTGAGCGTCTAGCCATGGCCACACAGCCAGCATGGTGTCTCCTGGACCAAGGGCTCCCTGAGATGAGGGCTGGTTCCTATGCTTCTCTGAGCCTCCCACAGCTGGAGCCCATGACAGCCACTCAGGAAGTGGGGCAGGGATGTGAAGAGCAGGTCCCCAGTCACAGGGCTGGAGGAGCAGCGTGAGGCCCAGGAGTGAACACTGTGCCTGAAGACACACTACCTAAGGCCACTTCCTGCACTCACGACCCAGGGCTGGTCACCTCTCCCCTCAAGGCTCAGTTTGCCTATGCACGTATGGGGACAATGACACCTCCCAAGCTTGATGGCAGGGACGGATCAGGCAAAACTGGTGGAAATGCCCATCTCAGGGGTTGGCACATTGATAAATACGGAATCGAGGTCTAAGAAAGGACGACGGTCCACCTCCTCTGTCCTAGCCAGTGCTGGGCTTGTCTTTTGAAGGAGTGTCGACTTGAACAGCATCTAAGATAAGATGCTGGAGCTGAGGTGCCACCTTCTTGCTAAATGACCTTGGGAAAACCACTTACCTCTCTCTGCCTTGGTTTCCACATCACGTGTTATGACTCATACTCACTTAGCCCAGCACAAAGTGAGTGCGCAACACACGTTAACTTTTGGAGGTATCCCTCCCTGAATTCTGGGCGCACAGTAGGTGCTTAATAAATGCTTGTTGGCTTAACGAGTAGGGGTGGGTTGGCCTCTGCAGCCCGACAGGCAGGAGGTGACTGAGGGCAGCGTGTGCACAGGTGGCCCCAGTGGACAGGGGCGCTCCAGGGAGAAAGCAGAGCGCCACGGTGCGGGCCGGGGCTGGGAGCCAAGAGGGGCTTTGGAGCCCCACCACGCCGCGTTTAGCTACGTGACCCAGGGCAAGGAAATTGGGCATCGGGTTCTTCATCAGTAAAATGAGGGTGACGTCTCTTTCGTGGGTTGCTGCAGGGACTAAATGCGCGTGTAAGTACCCGGAGCAGCGCCTGGTCTACGGCGCTCACTCACCGGTCTGCACCTGCGACAATGATGGCGGTAAGTTGCCTGCTGGAAGACTCAGGGAAGAGTCGCAATGGCTCCTAGACCCGCCCCTTGGCCCTCCCTCCCAAAATAACAGTGCCACTCAGTGAAAGATGAAAAACAGAAAAGAGCAGACCCCTTGCTCATTGCCGCCGCAGGCACTGGCAGAGCCGGCGGAGAAGCCAGAGAGCGCGTGTCAACGCAGGAGGCTTTGCCACACACGACGGGCGGGGAAAGGAGAAACGGAGCACTGCAGAACACAGCTCTCCCTGCGTCCTGTCATATCCCCAGAAAAGGCAGCACGCGACGACTGCTGCCGTCTTTTAAATACAACCGAGACGGCCACAGACTCCTCTCCCGCGTCTCCGGCTGCAGCTGACTAAGCCAAGTCTGCCAAAGGCTCCGAATACTCCCGCGACGCCCGTAACCCACTCGTGTCCTCAGAAACATGGGCGTTCCCGTACAAAGGCCGGCCGTTTAAAGAGCAGACCAGAAAGTTTCCATCTTTACCGAAGACTCCCAGGATGGAAAAGGGCTGCTGGAATAGAGAGCGCTTTACAAATCTAGCCTCTAGTGGTCCTATATTTGTTTTCCCCAAAGGGTGGTTTTCTGATAATTTCTACTATGTACTATCAGACATAACACAGATTATGAAATAATTTGAATTACAAATCTAATTCTTAATAGGAGACCCCCACCCCACCCACCTCCCACCCTCCAAATAAAGGAGGAGGAGGAAGAGGAAGAGAAGAAAAAGAAGAAACGAGTGAAAAGAAAGTGATTGATGGACACGTGTTTGTGGGTATCGGAGGAGAGGACTGCAGGAATCTCAATATCCTCTCCCTTCCCCAACTTAATTCACCTCTCACAAATGGCAAAAGCACATTCATTGTGGAAATATCTCGAAAATACACATATTGATATGACATCAATTTACTAGTGTTAAAATATTAAGGGCACTCTGCAAAAAGAGCTGCCACTTCCATTCACACTGGATTAAGTTCATGATGTCAGTGGGACTCCTACAATTTAGGCTTTTCTCCCACTGGAATCAACAGATTTTTACATAGCTATTTATAGCACTTGCAGAAAATAAATTATACATGATGCCGATCCTACTGGGAGAGAAACTGCACATTAATGCATTATTTCTCTTTGCATTTTCATCAGTCCTGAAACAGGGAAGCTAACAGGACAATTAGGATGCAAAATTCGCTCCCTCTAAGGAATTTAGTGAATTATCCACCTAACACAGGGAATCATTGGTAGGTAACAGGGATTTTTGGGGTGGCTATAAATAGACCCAAAGGGGAGGGTTCTGGAAGGACTGTGATTAATCTAAAGAGCTGGAACAGCCCAAGGTGGCTTTGTGGTATTAATTACTCCCCTTGGCTGAGGAACAGAATGGTAACAGTACCTTCCTTTCTCTGGGAAAAACAGGGTGAGACATCTACCTGAAAAAACTTACTCCTTTCCTGAAAATCTGAGCTAAAAGGAAAACAATGTACTCGGAAAATGTGCTTCTTTCCAAATCCTTAGTACTAAGATAAGATAACCCTACTATGAACTCTCAGACTTGGCTTTTCATTTTCCATCCACCCTGACTCATTTCCTTTGCAGCCTTTAACAAACCACCAGAGGCCAAAGCATGATCCGAGCAGAAGACAGGAATCCAAACACTCACAACTTACTGACCCAGTTCTTACATGAAGCGACTGTGTTTGGGGGCGGGTCACCAGTTTGCTGCACTATTTTTTTTTCCCTGATGGAAGAAACTGTGAGCAAGAGCTAATTTGTTCATGAGTCTGAAAAGGATAAAATCACAGTAAAGAAAGAATCGCCATCTCCCTGTTACCAGAAATCCTTCTGCTGACTTGCTAAAGCTTAGTAGAAAGCTTAGTAGTGATGACAAATACACACAAGACAGAGACGGCCCTAAAATGTGTTAGGAGGCTCATGCTGGCCCTTGGGTTTGGACCTGGTTACCTCGGTTCCAAGCCACCTCCATTCCAGTACAGTAACGTAACAATTCTCAGAGCCCAGATCTTTTATTATTATTATTATTATTAAAAGAGATGGAGTCTCCCTCTGTCACCAGGTTGGAATGCAGTGGCATAATCACAGCTCACTGCAGCCTCAAACTCTTGGACTCAAGCAACTGGATCATCTTTATAACCATCCACAAGGCCCCTGAGTTCAGAAAACATGTTTTTTTCCAGCCAGGGGTGGTGGCTCATGCCTGTAATCCTAGCACTCTGGGAGGCTAAGGTGGAAGGATCACTTGAGTTCAGGAGTTCAAGATCAGCCTGAGCCAGAGAGACCCTGTCTCTACTAAAAACAGAAAAAATTAGCCAGGCATCGTGGCATGCACCTGTAGTCCCAGCTACTCAGGAGGCTGAGGCAGGAGGATCACTTGAGCTCAGGAGTTTGGGGTTGCAGTGAGCTATAATGACAACACTGCACTCTACCCAGGGTGACAGAGTGAGACTCTGTCTCAAAAAAAATAGAAAGAAAACATGTTTTCTCATATAAATTATTCCCTCTTCCCAAGGCCCTTTGTAGCCCATGTCATTCCCCTCAAAGACTGGCAAAGTTTTCACACACTACGGACAGGTGTGAATAGGACGATGGAAAAGCTGCCAATGTTACCTAGGGGCTTGAAGAACTTTCCAGAAAAATTGGGAAAAGGGCAGAAAGGAGTCCTTTGGTTTAGCATTTAATACCAAATGGTCTTCAATGCCGCCTTTTGGCACACATGTCATTGACTATGACCTCTGATTTATTACACTGGCCCTAGAATGCAATAAATAACCTTTTAGTGGCCTCTGCTGACTACAGGGCACCTGCCAATTACACAGCTGAATAAGCTCCTACCCAGTGACGAAAGACAAGGGCATTTCCATGAGATTTCAGGTTTTCCATCAGAAAAGAACAGAATGTGTAGGGTCCCTTGTTTACAAACAAAGATATCTAGCCATCATTTTTACTTTGTGGGTTTGGGGAAGGAAGGGTGTAGCAGGGATTGGCCTGAATGTGATATTTTATTTTTAGAGTTTTGATGTCTTTTGAGTTTCTGTGACTATTTTCTGAGTTCTCATTCCTGCTGCTTCTCCTGACATGACTTGAGGCTTTGTAGATATCAACTCTCAAGCGAAATGTTTATTTTTAAAAAGATGGTAAGCAGGTTTCATACTGCGGATTGATCCTCTCTCCTTTAAAATCTCGCTCTAGAAGCTAGGGAAGCTCCGCCTAAGCTTTTCATATGGAGATACTCACCTGCTCTCTATAGGGTGCGAGAATGGAGGCAGTTAGGATTTTAATTTTATCTTCTAACCTGAAAAAATGTATAAACTGAACCTTGAGGCAGAGCCTGGAAAATAAAATCAAACTTTCTTAACATTTTCCCCTCAGTGTGAGTTTTTGCTTTTGACAATTAGTTGTTGACTTAGATTTTCTACTTTGCCATTGGTTACAATTTACACAGTTACCTCTTTTTACATGGAACTATGAAACTAATCTGTAGATTTAGAAGTATGGTATTTATTCATTAAATTTTCAATAAACATCACCTTACTTAAGCAAGAGAACAGTGACAATGGAGTGACTTAGGCCTCTGTGTGCTGCCTTTCCATGCAACTCAGACTGATCTTAAAAATGTTCTCAAGCCAAACTCACAAGTTCATATTTTGACCTTAAAAAAATGGGGGGAGGGGTGGGAGACCTTAGAGAAATTTGAATTTTGTAAAGAATCAAAATTAAAGCCAGTGCAGTTAATAAAATTCCTTCCAAACTGTTGAGATATCTTACTTATCACATCAATTAATTCATTTCTTTTAAAATGCTTAAACTTCCTCTAAAATTATTTTGATGAAAACTTCCACATTCACTTTTCCCCACTCCTTGTAGACGGTCTAAAAGAAAAACAAAAGGATTATTCTAAATATCTGTCTTTGATGCTATAGGTTCTGAATACCTGTAGTTGTGCATTCATAGTCAAAGCTGGTCACATCATTTAGCTTCTTTTCCTGATATTCTGGTGGACCAATACACAGCACATCGGAAACAGTGGAATTTGTCATCTTCAACCACAGGTACAGCCACTTGGCTTTGCAGTCACACTCAAATTTATTACCCCTTAAATCTCTAAAAATAAAAACAAAACACATACACAGAGAAACAGACACATCAGACATGTTTTGGTAGTAATATGAAACTATGGAATTATTAATATCCCGATATATTTAAAACCCCCTAAAATGGAATTTTTAAAAAGTTTGTGTTTAATGCATCTTATTTCTTACACTCATCATTGACTTTATTTAATGTTCCTCAGTGTCCATGATTTTAACTGTATAACATACAGAGAGCTCTCTGAGAGGAACTTTCACCATCTCTCCAAACCTTCTTGAAGCTGTCACCATGCCACGCTGGAAACCGGGGAGGGATGGCAGAATATCCCCCAATTCAGGTTCACATAAACAAAAATAGGACGTTGTAGGAAGATAGTTTTCGCACACACAGTGTAAGCTTTAAGATCTTGTTAAACTATGCCCAGTAAGAAGTGACAAACACTAGAAGCTAAAGCAGGTGGATACACTATCTCAGGAAAGGGAACCTCCCATTCAGCAAAAGTCATTTACCATATTTATACACTAAGTACATAAAATGGCAACATCCAGCACAATACGAACTACCCCCTATTTCCCAGGATGCACTACTTTGTTATAGATTTTTAGCTACAGCATAAAAGAAATGCAGTGAATGGGTGAGGGGATTAAAAGACATGATTAACTGGGGAACAATGACAAGCACATGTAAACTTAATTTCATTACTTACAGTTCAATCAGAGAGTCTAAGTCACTGAAGACATCCCTTGGTAGTGCTTTTATGTGGTTATTGGCCAAAGAACTAGAACCAAGAAAGTCACATTTTAACGTGGTTATTATCTCATGCCCTGTCACACTCAAGTCCCTTTAAATAAAGCTAATGACTTAAAACAGAGCTTTGGTCATCAATACTGAGATTAAAAAATGAGTTCAGTTATACATAGATAACATTAGAGATGATGGATTATAACGTAAGTTTTCTTGGCTTTGTTTTTAAAACAAGCATTTTTTAAGCTCTTTATGTACATTCGTTAAACCCCAGCTGGCTTTCCGTGTTTCTTGGGATAAAAGCCAAAGTCCCTCCATTGGCTAGTTACTTCCACTGCTGCTTACCTGTGGGACCACATCTCCGACCGCTCGGATCCAGCCACACTTGCTATTCCCCCTTGCTATTCCTCAGACAGGTGAGGCATGCTCCCAGCGCAAGGCTCTGAACCTGTTCATCTGCCTGGAATGTTCTTCTCCCACATACCCACCCGGTGCTCCACTGCCTCCTCAATTATCACCACCTTTTCTGGCCTCTGCACATCTCTTTCCCCCACTCTGTTGATCACCATTGCGTGACCATCATTTGGCACACTGCCTATCTTAATTATCTATTTGCTTATTGGGTGTGTATCCTTCCTATACATAAGCCACTTGAGGACAGAGATTATTGTCTGTCCACTGCAGTATCCCCAGTGCCTAAAACAGTGCCTGGCATTCAGTAGGTACTCAATATGTCTCTGTCGAATGATGAATTAACAAAATTATCACCAAAGCGAGAGTGATAAAAGAAGATGCACAGTCTTGTCCCAAGAACTTTCCCAACGGTGCATCTGAGTGAGTTCTGTTTCTTGTGACTCTAAGAAAGGACTCAGCAAATACTCTATTACCTAAAGACACTCAGCTCTAACCCTTATGGTTCATACAATAAAGTCTCAATGAATCAGAATGTTTAGGGAATGATTGATTATGATCAATTTCATTTTCTCATTAACAAAGGTTGACCAGAAACCATTTTGCATTTTTGCTCTTAGGTTGAAGATCCTTCTAAGATATCCTAGTCCACTCCCCACCTCCAGAAAAGCAACTAGAATGAACAGCATCAACTCTGTCTCTGATGATTCAGGATTTTGCAGTGCCCCGTCATCATCCTGCTGAAGATGAATGTCCGTGGTGCAGGGCTGTTGGTGTAGACAGATGCTGGGTGTTGAAACGCTGTACTCTGAGTTTATGATTTCCCCAGGCACAGCACTCTAAAGTGAGTCAGCTACGAAACTGATACCTACTTTTGCTTTCTTTTACACATATGAATGCAAACAGCAAAACATATAAATGATAAACATGTAAGCAATTCAGCATCAACTTCCTTCAAATATATGTGAAATTAATTTTTTGTAGCATCATAATTACCTATCCTAGAAAGATGAATTAGAGAAATGAGTGTTCCTTCTTAGAGTCAGTTAGCTGGTGATCTATTAAGCTTTGAGCCCAAACATGCTTGCTTCAAGATACAACTGCATATGAGGAGACTCACGGTTTCCGAATTATGCCACTTACCGTCTATATAGCCACAAATGGATTAAAATACAATTTCATGTACTATTTTATCTTTCATTTCTAAATGATTTATTTGTACATTTTTAAAGGTATTGAAAATGGGCTGAATGTGTAATCGGACTAAAGATACTCTGGAAGTAGCTTTTTAAAATTTAAGAAAGGGGGCACTTGTTTTTATTCTAGTTGATGGTCTTTTTCAGGAAAGTAAAGTACAAAAGTGTTTTAGCTAATTAGATGTAAGTTATTTAGCTAGAAAATTAAAAGTTATTGTATTGAAGTAATAAGAATAGACGGAATGACCAGTGCCAAAAAAAGCAGAGTGTTTAGCAATCATTCCAAGTGTTCAATTTAGATTTCAGAAAGCAGAATTATTTAGATGGGTTATCCACCCCACTCACAGTAAGTGCTTAACATTTCCCTTTCCACTTCATTTTGTCTGCAAATTCATGGCATTTACTTCATTTCTGAAACTATTTAATAGCTCCCTGTCCCTTGGGCTTTGCAGGACTGCTGGAAACAAATGTTCTAGATTTTAGTTACAGATTGGCAATGCTTTGAAACCTGATCTAGGTTTCCTCACATACGAATGTGAGTCTGTAGGTGTTGGAAAAGTTCATAAAAGATAAAAATCGATACTTAATTTAAACAAGCACATTCTGGATAGAGACTTTCTGAAGCACAGGAGTGAACTTTAGAGTTGATCTCTTCTCTTTGCTTAGAGGTTGCAAAAAATGTAAGGAGGAGGATGGGTTCGTTCTTTAAACAATGTATTAAATGCTTTAATGACTAAATACATCCCCAGCCTAGAGAAGTCAATTTTATTTTTTTTTATTTTTATTTTTATTTTTATTATTTTCTTTTTGAGATAGGTTGCCCAGGCTAGAGTGTGGTGGCACGATCACAGCTCACTGCATCCTCAAACTCCTGGGCTCAAGGGGTCCTTGCGCCTCAGCCTCCCAAGTAGCTGGAACAACAGGCATGTGGCACCACACCTGGCTAATTTTGAAATTTTTTGTAGAGACAGTGTCTAACAATGTTTCCCAGGCTGGTCTCAAATTCTTGGCCTCAGTGATCTTCCTGACTCAGCCTCCCAGAGTGCTGAGATTACAGGCCTGAGCCACTGCCCCCAACTGAGTAGTCAAACTTCAAAGTCACCTGACTTGCCTAGAAGTAGAATCCATATGAAAAATCCAGCTCAGTAAGAAACCCATTGGTCAACCATGACTCAGAAAGTATGTCCTGCTGACTCAGCCCTGTGCTAGACACTGGGGAAGAGCAGAGCTGATGGAAGATCAGCAAGAGCCCTGTCCTCCTGGAGCCTTCAACACTGCTGGGGAGATAAAACGAACACCCATGAAATAGCATCAACCAGTACTGCCAGTGTAGACAGTAAGGTGCTGGCTGTGTGGAGGCAACAGAGGGGTGAAAAGGGAGCTCAGGAGTGACTTCATGGGAGAGATAGGACTTAATATTGGTTTTGACGCAAAAGGCAGATTCCAGGAGACCGAGGGCCGAAGGTAGAGCACCCCAACCGGGAGACTAGGCTGGCGCCCTGGGGACTTGACTGCATGGTGGTCACACTTTCGGGGACAAGCTGGGCTCTCCTCTCATGCATCCCTCGCGCCCTAGACCCAGGTGCAGGACTCTCTCGCTCCCTCTGTGTTTGTGCCCTCTCTGTGTTGCACAGAGAGAGGTGCTCTTTGCACACATGATAGCACATGAAACAACAAATGTACAAGCATGCAAACACAAACACAGTTATGTACGCACACATATGTAATTCCATGCCCCCGTGGACACTTTCTGCACCTGCACAGAGCTATGCAAATATACAAGCACAGGATCTGCATGTTCACACCTTCCCACTGAAGGAAGAGCTGTAGCCAACTGGGCAAATGAACGTGGCCATCTGGGCTATCTCAGCCAGTCACAGGGGCTTTGCTATAGGTTCATAATCTGCCCAGAGCTTTTGCTCAAAAACAAAGTCCCTAATTCCTGACTTCTGGGAACTAGACTTATCCAGCCACAGCTGTTGCTCTCCAGACACCCACAGCTGTCTTCTTAGCAGACCCTGTCTGGCCTCCCAAACTGGCAAGATTACTTAGCAGTCCATGGAGAAAATTGGGATTTCATAATGAGAGGAGGGAGGGAATGATGTTGTGATGATGATGGCATCGCCAACCACACCAACCATTTACTACGAGTAATGGGCTGGATGCTTTGCAAGGAAGCATTAACCCATTATGTACAGCAACCCTATAAAGTCAGTATAATCATCCCCATTACGGTTCTTCCATCCGTAGGAAGGTATGAACATGCAGGTATTTTACATGTATATTTGCATCTTTGTTCATGTGTAGAAAGTGCCGTGGGTGCAAGGACTTACATACATGTGTGTACATAAATGTGTTTGTGTGTGCATGTTTGTGCATTTGTTATTTCGTGTGTTAAGGAGGAGAAAATTGAACTCAAAAAAATCTAAGTAATATGAATAAATTAATGGTCTTGAGATTCGAACCCAAGTCTATGCAATTCTGAGCCTATAACCTTAGCTGCTACAGGAATGTGGGAATTTGGCACCTGGTTTGAATCTGAAAAAAAGTCAAGGCTTTTATAGGAAGCAAAGAAAACCTAGAGCAATAATGCCAACCAGAGTCTGACACTCTCCAGTACTGACTGTGCTGATCCAGTTGTTCTGACTTCTCATGTCCACTCCCTCATCTCTTCACCCTACATGCTTTAACTTAGGCAGAGCTTCTGCTTGGGATAAGTTCAGAGTCAAGTGCTCATGAGGCCTAATGACAGACATCTTTGCTAGTATCAGGGCTCGGTGTGCACGGTTATCTTATTAGATGACTATATCCATACCGTATCATTCAGGGTTACACAAGCTAAAGGGACTACCACTCCCAACCAACACCTCCAGTCAAAGCCCTCTAATTTTCCCAATTTTCTCTTTACTGCAGACAGGCTGACTATGGAGATGAGACATGTCATCTAACTCAAATATAAAATATTTATCATGCAAATCGAGACCTGGTTCCTGGCAAACAAATTGCTCCCACCAAGACAATGACTATTTTTATATTTTCATAAACACAGTCACTATTTTTTCCAGTTTTATAAATTTTCTAAATGTGTATACTTGCTTCATTCTGATATGCCAATTCAAATTAATTTGTTTTAATTTTTTTTCTCTAGAAAGCTATTGAAGAACCAGAGAGCTTAGCTGAAGAAGCTGCAGATTAACGCAACATAAAAGAAAAAGTGATTTGCATTCAAATGAAAGGAACCACGAAAACGTCTCAATTCCACTTTGTCCTAATGCTGGTCCTGCCTTCAACCAAGTCACGTAAGCCTTGGTTCCCAAATCTGTAAAATGGAAACTCACGGATTATCGTGAAACGTGGTGCATGCTTGGTGCCAGCCCCGTGCCTGGCACCAAGCATGCATGAGACCCACGTTAGTTCCCTTCGCATTCCCTCTGTCAAGCAACACACGCCCCCTCACAACTCACAGCGCACCTTGCTTCACACGCAGTTACGTTACGTGGCCCCATGACTGCCACTCAGTCATGGAGATGACACTCAGTGATGGAGATAACACTAAAGGCAAGTGTGTGAGAAATCACAATGAGCCAGTGTCTGGCCGACAACACAGAAAACTCCTGGGCAACCTAGAAGCCAGTCTCCCCCAGGGAATGTTACAGTATGGAAATAACAATCAAGGAAGAGAGAGGAACCAGGAATCGAATCTCACCCCACACATTAAAGGGCTCACAACACTTTTGGTAGGACTTACAGGTGAGTCAGGTCGCGGAGGCCACGAAAGGCATTTCGTGAAATGGTTTCTATTTTGTTCCCTTCGATGAACCTAAGAAGAAAAGTGGTTACCGTTAAAATGAATTTTCTCAGCTTAGTATCTAAAAAATTACACTGGTATACTTTCAGAATAAAATCTAAATGCGTTCATGGACTATAAAAGTCCACCTGTGAAGACCAGGTCAGCTACACCGAATTCCACAATGAGAGCAGGGCAAGTGTACAAGGACACACGCACATAAGCATGCGTCCTGTACTCCTTCCAGAAACAGCATGGAAGTCTTCAAATTCCGAGTTGACAACATGGGTAAAACATTTGAGAGGAGGGTGGGGGGAGAAGAAAGCACTACACAAAGGCAAGAAGTTCTCATATGTCCGCAACATTGGAATGCTTCCAGACGTTTTCCCTACTCAACCCCTCTTACATTTCACAGTGCCTGGCTATTAATATTTTTGTTAATATCATTGTCCCTTGAAGGAAGCCCATTGTTTTACACCTACATATTAAAGTTTTTGCTGAAGAAGCATTCCATTAAGCTTGCCTTCTAGCCACCCTGAGTTTATCATGTCCGACACGGTCTGACCAAGATCTCTAAGCCACTAGGATGTAGGAAGTATGATGAAGTTCAGTATGGACTACACTCCTTTCTCTGTACTAAAATGACATAGGCTTACACATAGGATCTTGTAATAGTAACATTGGCCACGCTTTAAGGTCTTTGTGGGAAAGATATGATATGAATGTACTTTACTATTCCCTAGGGCCACAAAGAACTAGGTTTTAGTTTATAGCACTGTGTTCAGTCAGATGTAAGGAGGTCTTTGAGGAGATGGTCCAAAGGAAAGGCTTTGTACCATAACACCATCAGTGAAATAGTTAAATAGTTCTTCATTCTTGCACTAGGAATTTTCTGTTGTCTGTTTAAAAAAAAAAAAAATCAAGCGTCCCTTCATTAATAGACTTCAGAATAAACTGATAAGCTAACTTCCTCCCCAGTAACCTTCACAGTAAGATGAACTGCCTGTAAGAGAAAACGCATAGCTTCACATTGCTACTTCCGTGGTTGTTTATTTGCTTTGACAGACACTAGTTGGATTTAGCACTGCAGTTGTGCCACACTTTCCATACTATGTATACAATCAGAGTATTACGAGAGCATACATATTATGTATACTCTGGGGGAAAATTCCTCCAGAAACATCTTTCCTCACGACACAAAACCAGCAGAGAGCTTTCTTATACCCAGGATGTGTCTAGAATTCCAATACCTACCTGTTGAACTCAGATAAGAAAGTGGAGACGAGGCTTTAAAAACCCCTCTGAATGCTAAGTAAGGAAATCCCATCTGATAGCAGGATTAACATTATTACAAAGTTACCAAAGACAAGGATGAAAGAACTTAAAGGGGAGAAGAGACATGAAAGTGAGAAAAAGCAGAAATCAGAATGAGGGCAAAGCTCATGGCTAAGGAAAAAAAAAATACTGTATATCCAAAAAGGGGAAAATGATCTTTTTCTTTTAAGAAGAAAAGAAAAGAAAATTAGACCCTCAGCAGCAACTCACAGGAGATACTGCAAAGGCAATGCAGGACAGCAGAATGAAAAACATGAAGTTGGACCCCTCACTAGGGAGACTTTATTTAAAAATAAGTAACCCTCAGAACCCTTCAGCTCTATTTCTGGCTGATCAGCAAATCCATGCTTAGCTATGAGAGGTGAAAATATACAACACAATTTCCAATTGTGCTTACTACATGACAAATTAAATGTCAGCAGAGAATGAATGAATCTCTCTCCTTCTTTGTTTCCTTTCCCCCTCTTTGTCTCCAACATCCTCCTGTCCCAGCTTGTTTATAAGCAAGTAACAATAAAAGGTCAGTGCTGAAAAGAGAATGGGGTTTTCTCCATTTTCTCCACCCCAAAACCCTCACGGAGATGCTGTTCCAGCACAGAAAGCAATCTAGCAATTCTACTAAGATACCAAATGCTCAGCAAGCAGACAAAGCACAGAACTTACAGGTATTCGAGATGAAAAAGTCCAGCAAAAGCATCATCCCTGATGACCGTGAATGAGTTAGAATTCAGCAATCTGAAAATAAGGGACAAGTTTCAATGCAGAGATATAAAACTTGAGTCACATGGTCAAGCCCTTTCTATTCATTTCTATTTCTTTTGCTATGTTCTGATCTGGGGGCAAACATGGGCTCTTTTCAGCCTAAGAACAACCCATTAGGTCCTCAACCCGACTTTTGCAGAATGCTGATGGACTCAATGGCAAGTGGGTCCCTTTTGGCCAGATTTTTTTGTCATCTGGGATCCTCTACCCCCTTCTCCTCTGTGGGTCTCAGTTAATATGACCTGTTAGTTGTTATTTTAACACATTCTAATATGCAGCACAACTACACAGCCAGTGAAATGTTTTACGATGCACAAGCAATCGCAGAATTAGAGGTCTAAAAGATCTAACCTAATTTTATTTTTAGAGAAATTTGAGCCCAGAGAAGTTAAATCACTTGACCAAAGTCACATAGCTAAGATAAAAAAAAAAAAAATCATTTCTACTACATTATATATTCCCATGAGAAATAATAAAAAAGTTTTTTCAAGAAACCTTCCTATAGAAGACTCTTTATCACTACATAGTTCTTTATTTGAGTCACCACTCAAGGCTATTTGGAAAAAAAAAACCTAAAATTGAATTTCTATCATATGGAAAGTATATTTTAATAACACTGCAATTTCTAACAGGATTCAGATTTTGAAATGTTAAGTATAATGTTATAAGTAGGCATATAACATTTCAAGAACAAAAATATCAAAAGTAAGTTTAGGCTGACTGGTGATCTCCTACACTCCACTTCTCCATATTTTCCTGTAGCCCATTGCTTGTTTAAATTTTGATCTCATCATAAATTTAAGAAACCAATATAGATAAAGAGAATGAGGATGTACGTATGACTTTGCCTGTCACTGACTTGCCTTTGAAAGCTGCCTTTTGGAAATTTCCTTTTATCAGCAAACATTAACGGACCTGGGGTACAGGGTACAACATGGGCACTCAGCACGGTGACATGGGCATTGCTCACTGAGACAAGCGGGGGCCGGGAATAGTGTGAATATGGGCCTTGGTCCCTGGGTTAGAATCCTGCTCTGTGACTTTGGGCAAGTTACTTGACTTCCCTGAGCTTCAGTTTCCTCATCTGTCAAACAGAAAAGTAATACCCTCCTCACAGGGATAATATGATCATGAAATAAAACTATGCACATAGGCCAGGCACAGTGGCTCACTCCTGTAATCCTAGCACTTTGGGAGGCCAAGGTGGGAGGATCGTTTGATCTCAGGAGTTTGAGACCAGCCTGAGCAAGAGTGAGACCCTGTCTCTACTAAAAAAAATAGAAAGAAATTAGTTGGCCAACTAATATATATATATATATATATATATATATATAATTAGAGGCTGAGGCAGGAGGATCACTTGAGGCCAGGAGTTTGAGTTTGCTGTGAGCTAGGCTGACGCAAACAACCTGGGGAACAGAGTGAGACTCTGTCTCAAAATACATATATATATATATATATATATATATATGCACATAAATGCACAGTATGCTGCCTATGTAAGTACTCAGTAAGCTAGAAATACTTCTATTTCCAGAGTCACATTAAGATTTTAAAATGTGAGGTTTCTTTTAAAGTGAGGTGTTTGGGAAACAGCCTACTAAGGTGATGTTCCAGTCGTGGTTCAATGTAGTCATCGCCCCCATTGCTGGATCTGGGTATTGGGATCGACAATATAGTCCTTGAGGAAAACATGTACCAAACTAAGGAAAGAAAACTGAGCAAGGAGCCTTGGGACTTCCTTGGGGACACCACAGGCAAATTAACACCAAGAGCCATCTAGGGTTTCCTCGTGGGTTTCCTCGCGGAGCTGGGGTGTTTTAGGAAGGGCTGATGCCAGAGAGGCGGAGATCACCCATCCGCTCCTCGGCGCCCCCCTTTTGCAGAGCGAGCGTCCCATACTCACAGCAGCTGCAGGGAAGGCAGATGGGAAAACATTCGGTCTTTGATTTCCGAAAACGTTCCATTTACCAGGCTCCTATGGGCAAAAGAGGGACAAAAGGAAGCCTAGGTTTCTTTTAGGAAGTGCCAGCCAGCGTGGGCAATCAGCCTCATCTTCCACCAGTAGTTCAAATTCTTCCTTTCAGGAGTGAGGCTTAGCACAGCTGGCCATGGGCTGGCCAGGGGAAGGGACAAGAAAAGCCAAGCCATTTGCCAATGCATCGGATCAATATGAAAACTAGTCTGAATTCCAGAAACCTTCACCATCAGCTCCTTTCACAGACGTTATCTCAGTCAGTCCAAATCAATCCCCTCACTTCCTTTCTTAACTACCGCAGGCCCCCTCTGAAAATGGATAATCACTTCACCTCTGCCCATGATTCTGTTTGTGTAGACACAGCGTTAATGTTGGCCGACGAAACTCCGGGGTAGGATTAAGCATTCCCCTGGGGAGCACATCCCCGAAAGACACTCAGAGCACTTCTGATTAAATGCACCGAGAAAGCCTCGGGGAACAGACTCAGAGACACCTGAACCCGGCTGCGCGGCGGGAGGCAATGCCATCTGCCAGGTAAAACGGTCAACCAGGGGCAAGGGCTTGGCTGGGTTTCTGCCCCCAGGTCCCCTGTCCTTTCTGGCCACAGTAGGACCTCAATACATGATTTCAGAACTATTTTCAGTTAACATGCAGGTCAATTAAGCAGCTGCCGGTGTGAAGGATTTAACAAGGGGAATTCTAATTTCTGGAATCCTCCATGACATCCAACTTGGCAGTATTAGAAACTAGAAAGGTCCTCTGTTCCCACCAGCCAAACTCCCTTGACTTCCTATAAATGCAAATGGGAACCCCCTCCCTCCTGGGTTCAGGCCCCTACAATTTTTCTGGGGTGGGAGGCAAGCGAGTATCAGACACCAGAAAGTGTCCCGAGCACAAACGTCACCCCCGGGATTCCCTGCCTCTACCATTGAGTGGGCAGCTGGGCACCTGGGCCTGGCACAAGGGAGTGGTCTTAGCAGGAAACATGTTCTAGCAGCAAAGATACAGCCCAATAGCCACTTCCACAGCCATTACAGAGCTAGTGGCTGTTGCGGGCAAGGTGACAGCATCTCTTGGCAGGTGGATAAGTAATGTTAAGCTGTTTTCCTGTCAGTTCCTGGGGTGCTAAAAAAGCAGCCAGTATAACTGTGTGGAGGCAAAAGGGGACAAGTCCTCCTGAACTCGGGGCAAGAAGTCAGGCTGACTTCCAGCACTTGGCCACTGGGCTGGGCGTCCCACATGGCCCAAGGCTCTGCCAAGCCCACTGTGCCACCCCCCCTTCCAGGCCACATGGGACAGCCCCTGTGCTTCTGGAAGCTGGATGCCTTGACCCAGGCTCTTTCCGACCTGCAGTGTGGGGAAGTCAGGAGGAGGCCATCGCGGGGACCTGCCTCAGACCTGAGGTGGGGCAGTGAGGCCTCAGCCCCCCCGTGGGCACGCACTCCAGTCATGTTCGGCTGCTTGTATCCATGCCCCTACACACTCACGCCCTGGCCCGCAAACACACACACACCGCCCCTCTCAAACTTTAATGCACCCCAGGATCCCCGGGGCCGCCAAAGGCGACTTCAGGGCTCCACTCCAAAGACTCTGCTTCAGCGCCCGCCGGCCGGGTTCTGCATTAGCACAAGCTCCCCCAGGTGAGTCTGATGCAGGTGGTCCGCGGGCCACACTCTGAGAAACACTGCCACGGGACCGGTCTGGGCTCCCGGACTCTGCGGCTCGGGTTCTCACCACCCCACCCGAGGCCACACTCCCCCCACGTCCCGTAGTGCGCCCCCACCCAAACGCAAAGAAGCGGGCTGGGGAGTGGGTCAGGGTCGCGCTGCCCGGGCGCCACGGGCAACTCGCGGGCGGCGGCGGCGGGCGCGGGGCGGGGCGGGGTGGGGGCTGGAGGGGTCCCACTCACAGGGAGCTGATGTCGCCAGGCACGATCCTGGGCACCCAGGACGAGCCCACGCAGATGATGGACTCCTTGGTACAGCTGCAAGTGGCGGGGCAGCGCGCCAGCCGCCTCACCTGCGCGCTCGGCGGGATCAGGCACGCGGCGCCCAGCAGCAGCAGCAGCCGCAGCCGGCCCGGCGCCCCGCCGCCGCCGCCTCTCCGCAGCGCCATGCCCGGTGCCCGGTGCCCGGTCCCCGCCCCGGCCCGACCCCCGGCGCCGCGCCGCGCGCTCGGACCCCGCACCGCTGCAGACGCAGGCGCCGCTCGCTGCTCCGCCGCCGCCGCTGCAGGCGAGGACGAGGGCGCCGCGGGTGTGGGAGGCCGAGCCGCAGCCGAGCAGCATGCTGGCCGCCACCCCCACCCGGCGCCCCCCCACCCGAGCCCGGGCTGCTCGGCCGCCGCTGCGCCCGCCGCACTCGCGCCCGCCTGACATCAGCACCCGCGCCCGCAGCCCGCTCTGGCCAATGGAGGCGGCGCCCCGGCCCCCGCCCCGCCCTCGGGGAGCTGCGGGACCCGGAAAAGTTGGGTGACCTTGGGGGAGGGGCCGGCCTGGAGCGAGCCCCCGGGGGGCCTGGCCGACGGTGGCGGGTCGGGGCCGGCAGTCCCTCCAGGGGCTGGAAATAACCCGGGGGAGGCACCGGGCTCCTTTAGCGGGGCCAGAACCACAGGCAAAATAAATCAGTGAAGTAGGGGCAGGGAGTACTGGCCTGGTCACCGGGGAGGGGACGCGTCCTGGGTGCCATGAAAGGACAGGCTCGTGAGCAGACTTTATTCATTTGGAAGATGAATGAAGTGCCTGCGCCAGTCCCGGAGTGGGGGGGCGGTGTCAGCCGACGTGGCTTTGCTTGTCTTCTGAGCGGGGCGGTGGGATCCGGGCCCCCTCCCCACGGCACTGGGGGTTTGCTGAAGCCAGACACCCTACCCTGCAGAAGGAACATGGGACAGCAAAGCCTGGGCAGCGCCGGCCACCTGGGCCCTGCCTACTTCCTGCTGGAGAGCTGGAAGGCGCTCTGGCCGCCCCACCACTCCCGACTAGACCACGGGGACTATGAACTGTTAGTAGAGGTTGAGGGCAGGACATGTTCTCGCCACTGTAGTTCTAAACTTCTGCTAACCTTTCGAGGCAGGTGCTACTGATATCCTTAATTTACTGATGAGGAAACCCCCCAGAAAACCTCGGTGACTTGCTTGGTGGTGCAACGGGAAGTGGCTGGGCAGGATGGGGTTGGAGCCCGTGGGGACAGCTGGTGGCTGGGCCCTGCTGAGCCCCTCTTCTACCCCTAAGTGTGATGTGATGAGCTGGAACGTTACCACGAGGTAGTGTGCAGTGGGGAAATCAAAGAAAATGTCCAAAGCAGACCCAGAATAATGGCTAATGGGCCGAACCGCTCAGAGTGGGGGGTCAAACGCACCGTGGTCAGGCTACAAACCAAGGAAAGCTGTTTCATGCCTTAAGATATACCCAGAAAAGGCAGTGCCCAGTGCAAAAAGTTAACACTGCAGGCATCAGCAGTACAATAGCTTCTTCAGCAATCATTTTTAGCACTCTCCGATATGAAGAGAATATCCTGACATAAGGAAAATATCAGACTGGCTGCTACCGAAGAGACAAAGCAACATGCCCTGTCCTCAGGGAGTGTGAACTCTTTTTGGGCAGATAACCCTAAGGGAGTAACTCCAAAGGCTACATAGGGCCATAGACTGACCAAAAAAGGTTCAGAAATTGAAAGCGAGCTTGTCATCGGCAACTGCATGGAGGCAGTTAGACATTCATTGCAGGTCATCATTTATATAGCACCTTGCATCCATGCAAACCAATCTGCAATTTTCACCATTTAATTCTCACATCTACCCTGAGGAATGGATCTTCCCATTTTGTGGATGGGAAAATTGAGCTCAGAGATGTTTTCCTGTTGCCCAAGGTCACACGGGACACACAGCAAGGAGGATCACACTCCAGGACTGGCTGCTGGGTCTGACACCTGCTGTTGTGTGGACAAGCAACCAGAATGCTTCACTCAGCGAGGAACGGCCCTAGGCTCTGAGGACGCAGACCACAGTCTGGGGAGGGAATGGCTGTGTGTGCCGTGCACCAGGAAGATGTCTGCCTTGAAAGAGACGGGCTGCTCCCTTACAGAGCGGAGGGGCTGAGGCTTCTCAGATGCAGCGCTCCCTGCTGACCCAGAAAAAGGAAATCTGCTTTTCAACTGTGAGTGAGAGAGTGGGGTAGGTCAACCCTGGCCCCAGGACCAGACACATACGGCTTGCATCCCAGCCTGCCTCTTGCTGCCATGCAATCATGAGCAAGCTAAGCTGTGCTCCCCTAAGCCTCAATTTGCTACCTGTAAATGGGAGACCATTGCATCCACCTTTTGGAGCTAAATGTGATCAAGCACATTTAATGCCAGACAGGAGGCACTGGGTGTTTGACCAGAGCTCTACATGACCTCATGGGCAGGACCAGGCTTAGGTAAACCCTGGGGTTGTAGAAAAGTGAGGCAGGAGGGCTGTGAAGGCACATGGGTTTTGCTGACCTCTGGGCCTCCATTTGAATCAAGGTCAGGGACACAGTATAGCACAGTATTTTCAGTGAGAGCTGATAAGGGGGACACGTGGCCATGTCTGGAGACATTTGGGGTTGTCACAGTGGGTCGGATGCTACTTGCATCTACTAGGTAGAAGCCAGGGGTACTGCTGCACAGCCTGCAGTGCACAGCAAAGAATGATCCAGCCCAAAATGTCACCAGAGCCAAGGTTGAGAGAGCCTGGCTTGGTGGCCTGGATAGGCTCTTGGCATGAGGAATTCCAGAGATTCAGATTCTAGGCCATGCCGCACCACTCACAAACACGCCTTCTTGGTCATGCCGCTCTCATCTTCAGCTTCTATTTTTTCCATCCATAAAATTGAAGTAAAGAACCTTTTCTCTCTCTTTCCTAAATAAGTGTGGCATATCATCATTTAACTCCCCCTTCCTCCCCTTCCCCAGGCTAGGGCTGGCTGCAGCCCATCCTCTCCAACCTGAAAGCTGAAAAGTTCCTGATAGGCACGGTGCAGAGACAAGACTTGAGTAGGGTAGCTGGCAGAGTTGGTATTTGTTTCGGCTCTGCTGGAGACACTAAGTAAGTGAGTGCTTGTAAATTATAAGGCGCAGTTTATAAATTAAGATATAAAAATGGAAATGCAGATTACTTTGGTTTGGTTCCAAGATCTTCAGCAGTTGGAAAAAAAAAAACTTAATAGACAATCAGAGAGACACAATCTGTTTCAGGAAATAGCAACAGTGTTTGAAAATGTAAAAATCCTTGTTCAGATGTACACTTACTAGGGCTGTGTCTTCATGACACGAACAGCACATACTCCTACAGCAGCTGAAGTGGTGCAGGCTGGAATGGCTTCTTTAAAGTCTCACAGCGGTTCTACCTTAGACAGTTATATGTGTCAGCAGCTCAGAAATAATGTCCATTCATGCACCCTCGTATTCAGCTACTCGTCAGTTCATTTGGTCAGTATGGACTGAGCACCTACTATGTGCTGGGCATTGAAAATAAAGCAATGGCTAAGACAGACATGGTCCCCACCTTCATTGTAGACAGACATTAAATTAAAAGAATGAACAAATAAGTATGCAGTTGCAAATTATGAGACAGCCTATGAAGGCAGAGGGGAGACCTAATCCAGGTGGTGAAAGCCTGTCTGAGAACTTAGCTGAGATCCTAGGGTGAGAAGCCGCAGGCAGAAGGCACAGCATGGGCAATGCACCAGGACCAGAAGAGATGTGTGTGTGGACAGACCTGAATGGAGGGCAGTGTGGCCAACACTTGGGAATGAGGGAGAGAGAGAGCTGAAATGAGGTCTGTGAGGTGGACAGGAGCTAAATTGTGCAGGACCTTGTAGGCCAAGGCCTGTATGTCAGAGGAAGCCATGGCAGGGCTTTAATCAGAGAAGCAGCATGATGTCATTTCTACTTCAGAACACTTATTTGTGACTGCTGAGTAGAGAACGGGAAGTGGTCCCATTGAACTAGCCCCAGTGAGAGATGGTGGCTGCCAGGACTTTTCACATGGCTGAGAAGATGGAGAAGAGTGCATGTGGATCCAAGTTGTAATATATCTTAAAAGGAGTATCAACAACACTTGCCGTTGGGTTGGATTTAGGAGGAAGGTTGAAAGAAATGGCAAGAATGCCTCCAAGGTTTTAGCTGGAGTCAGGGGGTGGATGGAGGTGCCATTGGTTAAGATGAGAAAGGCTGGAAGAGGAGAGGGTTTGGCTGGGAGACAGGTATCAAGAGTTTGGTATTGCAGATGTGGAGTTTGAAATGTCCATGAGGCATCCACATGTGGATGTTGAGTCAGCAGCTGGAAGACCCATCAGGATGGTCCGGGGGAAATAGGGAGTGGTTAACGGAAAATCTTATACTGTAGGTGAAACCTTGATTCTCTCTCAGTAAGCCCTCAGCGATACATTGGTGGATTGAGTGAACGAATGAGCAACGTTTCAGAAGTATCGACATTAGGGAGAAAACATCTCTCAGGTGCAATGAGAAAGGAACACAGAAATCTCACAGTACTCTAAGAATACTGCAGTTTGGGGATCTATTTTTAGACCAAAAACAATCTTCAAATCCTAAACCAAACTGTGAATCCTGTAAGAATCTCAGAGACCGCATTGTGCTGCTAATCCTCCTCCTCCTTCTCCTCCATTTCCAACAGAACTCCACCCCCAGCCCCTACCTGGTCTTCTTGCCAGAACCATAAGCTTTGGACCTTCACTAATGTCTAACAACCAGCGCCTTCACTAATGTGTAACACTCTTGACTCTGAGGCTTGTAGTAACAACCTCAAAGGCACTTGGTTTGAGTGGATACAAATTGGATTCTATGGCAGGGGAGGAAGGGGAGGCCTTGTGCATTTGTTTTTTTATCAAAGAGTTTGCCAATCTTTCTCGGACTGCATTGCTTCAATGTGCTATTCTTGTGGTTGGCTGCAGATCAAACGTAGATGCCGTTTCTGGCCTCCCATCACTTGCTTTCTTCATAAGCTCAGCGGGTGTCTCAAGTCTGGACCCATTCCAAATCTGCCCCTAATTGGGCTCTGGAATTCCATCACATTCTTGAAGGGCTGCCTATGGATATCTTACTCAGTTTCCCAAACTAGCCGAAAGACCCTTAGGACTCTGCCCTTGGTTTCTAGTGACCTTTGTCACCTGCTCCCCACCATCGGGGTAGTGGACACCTGTGGGATTGTTGCTGCCCAGCACCTGCTGCCTCTTCT